CCTGCATAGACAGCAACGTAACTGTAATGTTCCCAGGTCCAGAAACGTAGTAAGGACATCGGTAAAACAGTCCATGTGACATCAGTGGCTCAACTTCAATTTTGCAAAGCTACGAGAATACTTTTTGTGCGCAAAGAAAACAAAAATAACAATTTATTCAACAATTCTTGTCCACCGAGTTACGTCTTTTGCCATTTTGGAGAGTATCCAAGAACGTATTCGACGTAATCAGCGTTGTTTATGTTCGGGGGGAAAATGCGTGCATGATCTTGTCCACCGAGTTACGTCTTTTGCCATTTTGGAGAGTATCCAAGGCGTGCATGAACGTAATCAGCGTTGTTTATGTTCGGGGGGAAATGCGTGCATGAACGTAATCAGCGTTGTTTATGTTCGGGGGGAAAACGCGTGCATGAATGTAATCAGGGTTGTTACTAGGGCTGGGTTTTGACACAAATTTCACGATTCGATTCAATTCTCATTTACAAGCTTTCGATTCGATTACCGATTCGATTCGATTCAATATAGATTATTTTGGATATATATCAGGTACAGTACATGGCAAATTTTCTCAAGGAAAAAAAATATCTCAACTAATGCTGAAAAATATACGAGTCAGGTGGTACTACACATTATAATATTGAAGGTTAAAATTGACTGATTTGTTTCTGTACAACTTCTTAAATTGCACTTAATTAAGTTTTTATAATAAAGTTACAATTCAGTTTTTTTTTTTTAAATATACACATTTAAATAGTGGCTTGTTCGGGGGGAAAACGCGTGCATGAACGTAATCAGCGTTGTTAATGTTCGGGGGGAAAACGCGTGCATGAACGTAATCAGCGTTGTTAATGTTCGGGGGGAAAACGCGTGCATGAACGTAATCAGCGTTGTTAATGTTCGGGGGGAAAACGCGTGCATGAACGTAATCAGCGTTGTTAATGTTCGGGGGGAAAACGCGTGCATGAACGTAATCAGCGTTGTTAATGTTCGGGGGGAAAACGCGTGCATGAACGTAATCAGCGTTGTTAATGTTCGGGGGGAAAACGCGTGCATGAACGTAATCAGCGTTGTTAATGTTCGGGGGGAAAACGCGTGCATGAACGTAATCAGCGTTGTTAATGTTCGGGGGGAAAACGCGTGCATGAACGTAATCAGCGTTGTTAATGTTCGGGGGGAAAACGCGTGCATGAACGTAATCAGCGTTGTTAATGTTCGGGGGGAAAACGCGTGCATGAACGTAATCAGCGTTGTTAATGTTCGGGGGGAAAACGCGTGCATGAACGTAATCAGCGTTGTTAATGTTCGGGGGGAAAACGCGTGCATGAACGTAATCAGCGTTGTTAATGTTCGGGGGGAAAACGCGTGCATGAACGTAATCAGCGTTGTTAATGTTCGGGGGGAAAACGCGTGCATGAACGTAATCAGCGTTGTTAATGTTCGGGGGGAAAACGCGTGCATGAACGTAATCAGCGTTGTTAATGTTCGGGGGGAAAACGCGTGCATGAACGTAATCAGCGTTGTTAATGTTCGGGGGGAAAACGCGTGCATGAACGTAATCAGCGTTGTTAATGTTCGGGGGGAAAACGCGTGCATGAACGTAATCAGCGTTGTTAATGTTCGGGGGGAAAACGCGTGCATGAACGTAATCAGCGTTGTTAATGTTCGGGGGGAAAACGCGTGCATGAACGTAATCAGCGTTGTTAATGTTCGGGGGGAAAACGCGTGCATGAACGTAATCAGCGTTGTTAATGTTCGGGGGGAAAACGCGTGCATGAACGTAATCAGCGTTGTTAATGTTCGGGGGGAAAACGCGTGCATGAACGTAATCAGCGTTGTTAATGTTCGGGGGGAAAACGCGTGCATGAACGTAATCAGCGTTGTTAATGTTCGGGGGGAAAACGCGTGCATGAACGTAATCAGCGTTGTTAATGTTCGGGGGGAAAACGCGTGCATGAACGTAATCAGCGTTGTTAATGTTCGGGGGGAAAACGCGTGCATGAACGTAATCAGCGTTGTTAATGTTCGGGGGGAAAACGCGTGCATGAACGTAATCAGCGTTGTTAATGTTCGGGGGGAAAACGCGTGCATGAACGTAATCAGCGTTGTTAATGTTCGGGGGGAAAACGCGTGCATGAACGTAATCAGCGTTGTTAATGTTCGGGGGGAAAACGCGTGCATGAACGTAATCAGCGTTGTTAATGTTCGGGGGGAAAACGCGTGCATGAACGTAATCAGCGTTGTTAATGTTCGGGGGGAAAACGCGTGCATGAACGTAATCAGCGTTGTTAATGTTCGGGGGGAAAACGCGTGCATGAACGTAATCAGCGTTGTTAATGTTCGGGGGGAAAACGCGTGCATGAACGTAATCAGCGTTGTTAATGTTCGGGGGGAAAACGCGTGCATGAACGTAATCAGCGTTGTTAATGTTCGGGGGGAAAACGCGTGCATGAACGTAATCAGCGTTGTTAATGTTCGGGGGGAAAACGCGTGCATGAACGTAATCAGCGTTGTTAATGTTCGGGGGGAAAACGCGTGCATGAACGTAATCAGCGTTGTTAATGTTCGGGGGGAAAACGCGTGCATGAACGTAATCAGCGTTGTTAATGTTCGGGGGGAAAACGCGTGCATGAACGTAATCAGCGTTGTTTATGTTCGGGGGGAAATGCGTGCATGAACGTAATCAGCGTTGTTTATGTTCGGGGGGAAAACGCGTGCATGAATGTTGTTACTATTGTTACTAGGGCTGGGTTTTGACACAAATTTCACGATTCGATTCAATTCTCATTTACAATCGATTACCGATATACGAGTCAGGTGGTACTACACATTATAATATTGAAGGTTAAAATTGACTGATTTGTTTCTGTACAACTTCTTAAATTGCACTTAATTAAGTTTTTATAATAAAGTTACAATTCAGTTTTTTTTTTTTAAATATACACATTTAAATAGTGGCTGTCATAAAAACGTGGACGGATTTATTCAAACATAAATAAAACATTAAAGAACAGTAAAAAAAAAATATATATATATAATGAATGTTATATGGTGCATATATTTAGCAAAATGCCCTTCTATAGTTTATTTTGCTAACTTAGCTTACTAACGAGTTTTTGGTCACCGAATATGCTTTTGAGGTAAATGTGATGTTACATTAATTGTTTACAAGCTGTTATATTGACGTCTTTGCGCGGCTGAAACACTGATTGAGCGATTATATGAGACAGGATATGGATTGTAAAGTTGTACTCTTTCTTTTAACTTACCTTCGGATGTTTATTATCGGATGATAATTTTGTGCTGAAACTGGTATTAATGTGGAGGAGATGATCAGGTCACGTGCGCCTCGCGCTACCGCGTCTGTTGAATTGAGGCGCTATCGATCTGTCACTCCACATTAAACAACGCCAAAGCGGCATTTATTGTTTAAATACTGCAATACAATGGACATAAATTGAAATCTGAGACTTTGTTTCATATAAAAATTACCGAAGCACAATGCTTATTGCGATTTATTGGATGGGAGATGCCCTTCAATGTTCCGTCCATTAAGTTAACTGAAAACAGGTTAGACTAATTGATTCTTGGGATTTAAGAATCGATATCGTTTCGTAAAAATGAGAATCGATTAAAATAGAGATATCGATTTTTTTTTTTTACCCAGCCCTAGTTGTTACGCTTAGGGTAAAGCGTGCGTATGTGTTGTGATACTCTCCAAAATGGCGGAAGACGTAACTCGGGGAGCAGAATTGTTGAATAAAGTCGTCTTTTTTTTGCACACAAAGTATTCTCGAAGCTTCGCAAAATTGAAGTTAAGCCACTGATGTCACATGGACTGTTTTACCGATGTCCTTACTACGTTTCTGGACCTGGGATTATTACAGTTGCGTTGCTGTCTATGGGAGGGTCAGAAAGCTCTACAAATACATCTAAAATATCTTAATTTGTGTTCTGAAGATGAACGAAGGTCTTACGGGTTTGGAACGACATGAGGGTGAGTAATTAATGACAGAATTTTCATTTTGGGGTGAACTAACCCTTTAAGCTAAGTTTTTTTTTTTTTTTTTTAGGGTCAGGTTTGTGTCCTAGGTGATGGGTTCAAGTGTCACAAAATGTATCAATAACAAAACAAGCAGGTCAGTTTCAGTATTTTGATTTTATTTTTTCTTCATTTTTTATATGCTTTTTTGTTTTAAGAAACAAATGCTTGCAGATGTCAAATGAATTAACACTCACATCCTCACCACTTTTAGATCGTGACTGTCACAGCCAACCCACGAGAGCCGGGTTCTCAGCCGGCCAATCACAACCACCCCAGATTCTCAAACCGACAACCACTTCCTGTTAAGTGCATATGTAAATCAAAATTTTTTTTTTTTTTTTATTAATAACGAAAGTGCACAGGTGGAGCAATACTTTCGTAAACATAACATCCCTGCATTAATTCCTGTATATTTATTTCATTTTTGCAGGATGTCTTGAGCTGGAATGAGAATCTGGAAAAGACACCGAAGGTAAGGATGAAGGGATTCGTTTCCATTCATTCACTCATTTGTAAACAGCTTATCCTTTTTAATTTTCTTCTCTCATAACCCTACATCAACAGGTTTAACGAGGCCTTTTGCCGTACCGTCCACGCTCCCCTCGCGTAAGACAAAAAGGTTAATCTATAACATGGTTCAAAATAAAGTTTAGTGATTGTGCTTTTAAAACCAAAGTCAAACATAGAACAACAAACATCGACAATGACAAAAAGAATAACAGTGCATTCAAAAACAAACAAACAATAACTTTCCAAATATGGCACTTTTCCTGGGGCAGTTTAAACACTATGACAATTTACAACCAGGATGACGGCTATAAAAAAAAAAAATTATATTAACTGGCGTAATTTAAAAATTATTAAAATAAACCGAGGAAGACAAATTTAATGTACCACAATGGATTATAAAAGACCGTTAGATATGTATACACGTGTATGTACATGTCAGTCCCTTTGTGCCTGGAGTTTCATTACAGTAACAGCTGACTGACAACCTTCTCGCCAAGGTGAACAAAGCCATAATCAGTTTCAGGAGCTAACGGACACGTCATATTGCATTGGAATCAAAACAAAATTGCATTAGCCCCTCTCAAATGCACCCTTTGTTTTTCTTGCTTTTTTCTTCTGTCTTTTCTTCTTTAAATGCACAATCGAAAATGAAGGTAAATAAATGAAGAATGGTTGGTCAGTTTTCCAAACGTGACTCTATGTCGGTAGTTTTCAGTAAAAGATACCGCCGAGATGGTCAGACTGTGCTGAAGATGGTTGCTGAGGAACATTTGACAGCCGTATTTTTATCTTCAGCTCTCCACCATCTGAAAATAAAAGATTGAAGCATTATAGCAAACATCATACAATAAAACAATAAATATGTACCATACAAAAAGCACAGTAACACCAGTGTTATTTATATAATATTACAGTATTTGTTTAGAATTAGGTTTTATAAGTTCAGTTTTCAGTTTTTGTAATTTTGTGTGCTTTTGTCATTTTTTTTTTTTTAGCCTTTTATCAGTTTTCTTTATATATTTCTATTTATCTTTGTTTCATTTTTTATGCCTTTGTATTACTTAAACATTTATTTCAGTTTGTTGACAAGGCAACATTTCTAATTTCTGTTTTCATATATTTTCATTTTAAATTTTTTGTCAAAAATGTTGGTAACACTTAAAGCCTTTGCGTATAATGCATTATAAAAGTATTTTAATGCATTAATTATGCCTTGTAATGCACCTTATAATGCATTGTACAATCTCATTACTGTAACCACAGTTAAAACATTATAAAACTTATCAATTCATTGTTACACTATGCTTTTTAAATTCAGTTATAATTACTTACGACAAGATATAATGTATTACAACGCACATTATGAATAATTATAATGTGTATATACCCTTTAATAACCCTTTATAATACATTACACAAAGGCTTTAAGTAAAGTGTTACCAAAATGTTTTTCAATTTCTTTTCTTTTTTTTGTCATTTTATTGCTTAAACAGAAATTGGAAATGTTGCTTTGGCAACTAACTGAAATGGCAACTAATTTTAGTTTTTCATTTTCATTTCAGATTTAAGTAACCAAATTAACATGTTAACAACAATACATCATACGATTCTCAAAATAACGGTGCTCTGGTTTGCATCGTCACTATATAAATATGGTTGACCACAGATTGCTATTGACCAATCAGAATGAAGTATTCCTCTCATTTCCAGGTATGTTAGAAGTAAAAACGCACCTCAAGCTCCTCCCCTCCTGTCTGGAAGGCTCCTATGGTGTTCAGCCCAAAATCTGCAGGGTTTCTGCGAGCCCCTTCACCTCTCCGCCGTCCACCGGATCCTCGAGAGGACAGTGAACTGGAGGAGCTGGGGTCCCTTTCTCCACGAGGACTGTGGACGCCTGGGAAAGATGGGCGACTATAAGGTAGGATGTCCTCTGAGCCTGAAAGACATGAAAATAAAAGGTAGGTAACTTGAGCATTATTTACCACTGTATTTAAGGAGAGAAAACAGGACTGTAGTGCAGTACCTGGGTGCTGGCGGCTCTTATGGCCTGCACCGGCATCTTGTTTGTTGCTTTTCCCCGTTCTCTGACCCTTCTTTACATCCTGGCCCTCCCGCCGTTCTGAAGAGCTGGTCCGAGTGTCCGAGCCATCCCGGGGTCTGGGTCCGCCCGAACCCGTTCGCTTGTCCTTGCCATCAGCAGAACTGGATCTGGGCGACATGGCCCCCCGTGGGCCCTCTGGGATGGTTTTGGCCGGGTGTGTTGGAGACTTCAGCATGGCTGGAGGAGGAATCGGAGGAGGGGGAAGATCTGTGAGGAAACAAAAAGAAAAGAAATTATTTTGTGTGAATGTGAATGCATCCACTTTATTTTTAACAAGAGCGGGTGCGGCCATTTGTAACTTGAATGTGCGTAATCATCCATTATTTTTAGCTATACTGCTTGATATTATAAACTGGTGTTTGTTATCATATTATTTTAAACCATATGCGTCCTTAGGGAGTTTTTTTTTTTTTTTTGATAATTTTGGCTGTGTTGATGCAAACAGCCTAAATGTAGCCAGTTTTTATTGAAATTGTCCTTTCACAAATCTGGTACAAAAAAAGGTAAGGTTAAGTTAAATTATATTAAAAATATAATATATATATTTTGAAAAAAAGAAATGTAACATATTTTTTTAAATATAAATAATATAAAAATAGTTTAAATATAAAAATAGTTAAATGAAGGACTATAAGGAATATATATATATATATATATATGTTCCTATTAAAATCCATAAAAACAGCAACGTTTATTCACAGTGCCATTTAAGCATAAAATCATGCATTCTTAGGCAAGACTTCAAAAATTGTAAAAAAAAAATTAAATTGTACTATTTCCACCTGATTACCTCAGGTTTGGCCTATGGAGCAAATACTCTCTTTTACTTTTGTTTTCTACAGCTGAAAAAAAAAAAGCAAACTAAATTGAAGTTATGTAATTATAATCATGTAAGTTTATTGGTATGGATATCAGAGTGTGGTTTGTATGTGTGTGTGTATATATATATATATATATATATATATACACATACACTGAACAAAATTATAAATGCAACACTTTTGTTTTTGCCCCCATTTGTCATGAGCTGAACTCAAAGATCTAAGACTTTTTCTATGTACACAAAAGAACTCAGGCCTTTTGTGTACATAGAAAAAGTCTTAGATCTTTGAGTTCAGCTCATGAAAAATGGGGGCAAAAACAAAAGTGTTGCGTTTATAATTTTGTTCCGTGTATATACATTTAATCTGACACTTCACAAAAATAATAATGCATAAAAAAATCATGAAATCCTGAAAATGAATTTTTGGTAGTTATGATCAGGACTGTTGGTTAAAAAAAATGTTAGTGAAAGCAGGCAAAAAATCTATTTTTATGATCATTTTTTGACAGACCTCTACGTAGCTTTTTTAAATTGATACGGGGGTTAATGTATTGTCATAATTATAAATGTATTGGTTTGAAGCACAGTTTACTGCACCTAGTTGTTGTTCTAGTTATTTAGTGGCTAATGAATCAGAAGTCTCGCACATTTACAGAAAATAGCTTACTTTTGCATTGCAAAATAAGGTGGATATTCACACATGCTAGTGTCCTTCAGAACCAGACATTCAGGTAATTGACACCAGAACTCATTTGTCTGGCACCCAGAAGGTGCCATGGAAACACAGCTGTGCTGTTGCGTCACAACCCTCCAAACAGCTGCACGCTGGAGCTCTTTCCCACCGTGGCACCGCTAGTCAGTCGAGAAACTGTGAATGACGGTTCATCACTGTCACTGGATGTCTCCATGCTTCCCGTGCCAGTTATTCAGGGTTGTTTACAATTCCCGTTCTTGTTAAATGGCATCGGCTAAAAAAGTCATCCGAGCTCTGTGCGTGACAGATCTCGTAAAGTTGTGCCAGAAATGCTGAAACCTTATTCAATTTCAAATCAACATGCATATGAAATGACATCCCAATAGGCGCCAGTCACAAACATTGCAAACATTGCGTCACTAAGACTCTTTGTTGACGAGTTTAAAAAGTGCTAAACTGGTGCTTGGGTGCTGCGTCAACATTTTTACCCGTTCAAGGTCAAAGCACACCTGACGTCTTCACTGAGCACGTGCCTCGTTTTGTCGGGGAGATCTTAGTGCTCCTTCATCACTGCTCTTGACACTCAGCAAAATACGAGAAGGGTCAGTGGACGTGGATGGTTTTTATAAGCCCTGTGGTGTCTTGTAGAAGTCAGGCGGCGAATCGATGCCAGGGTGAGAGAGACGAGGCGCATTTCACAGGAGCAGAAGAGAGCTGTTAGATTTACGAGAAGGGTGGACGAGTGAGGGAGGGCTCTCTGCTTTATACAACAGCTAGCTCTGCTGTCCTTATTTGCGTGAGTAGTTCCTGCGTTGCCGTGAAATTACCAGTAGTGTAAAACACGGCCTTTCTTGCTTTGGTGTGATATCAATGATTGATGTTTAGTGCTTACGAGTGCTCAAAAATTTGGTGTCAGTAAGTATTATTATTATTTATTTTAATTTTTTTATGATAGACTAATGATGCTGAAAATTCAGCTTTGCATCACAGGAATAATACAATTTTAAAAGATATGAAAATTGTTATAAATTGTGATATTTCACAATATTGCTTTTTTTACTGTATTTTTGATTTAAAAAAAATGCAGCCTTGGTGATCATATTTAAAAAAAAAACTTTCCAACCCTGAATTATTTAACAGTAGCGTATGTCTTTGCAAATGCATCAGCGATTTATACAAATTAATGGTTGAAATGGTATTTTTAAATCAACTCAAACTGCTGAACATACACATGCCATTCAAACAGTTATACATTTTAAAAATTATTTTTTTATGATTTGTTTTTAATTATTATTTCTTAGAAAATATTTGACAATGTAAATTGTAATTTTGGTATTATTTTGACATTTAGGTTTTCTTCATAAATTATTATAAATTATTTTACTTAAAATTTTAATTTATAAAAATGTATACATTTATTAATTGCTTAACATACACTATTCAAACAGGGACATGAAACCTATTTTTATAGTCTATTTCTAAAGTTTCATTTTGCCTGGCTGCAGTGAAAAGAAACCGAATTCTTGTCAACCAACCAGTGTTGCCAAGTCTGTAGATTTCCTGCAGAACTGGGCTACATTTAGACTGTTGCCGGGGGTTGTTTTTTAGTCTGCGTGTTAAAGCTATCTCCAGACATGGAAATTTATTCAACCTGCATATATTAACCAGTTTCTTTTCAGCCGCTTTACACATTTTCTAACTCATATTTGCTTCAAAACATTTGATAACCAAAGACATCCTTTAGCATTCCTGCAGAAAACTTTTCTTGAAATCGGAAAACAAACTTCTAATAGAAACTTGCAAAAAGAGCAAACTAAGACAAAGAGAGAGAGAAGAACGTCTGGAAAAGACTGGCTCTTTTCTCTCCAGACAGAAGTGGAGGCAGATGAAAGGTTAACAGGGCCTTCTGGAGAGTAGGACGAGATAATAAGCCTGGTGTCACCCAAAGCACTGAGCAAACAAGAGCTAAATTAACAGACGTGGGGGGAGTGCGTGTTTGACGCCTGGTATTTGGGGGGTTGGTAGGCAATCTGTGTTTCAGATCATTTCGTTTTGAGTGCGTTTATGTGAAATGCATTCAAACCACAACCACCTCCTCCTTTTCCGTGCGAAACGCTGTATTTAACCCTCCCACACAGCGTAACTCGAGGAAGGCCTATCAAATCAAATCACACATTCAACAGAAACTTGAGCTGACACAGACTGATCAATCTGGGTCTCTTCAGCAGCCAACAGCGAACAAAGACGAGAGAGAGAGAGAGCGGAGAAGATTAGAAGAGGGGGGTGAAGGGAGGGAGTGAAGGACAGATGAGAGGGGCTAGTTGATCTGATAGAGCCAACCAAGGCCTGTATGTGTCTGATATTAAATCTTAGTGTCAACACACGAGGACAGAGGACTCAATGATGAGACGCAGCAGATGAGAACGTGTGCACACATACACACTCGCGCAAACGTGAGCAGAAAGTTTGGATGCGTTATGCTTGTGATGTGTGTGGAACTGCAAAAGGAAGTGCTCACACACATTACCTTTCTGAGAGCTCTTCAGTGAAGCTTTGGCACCTGCTGCAGTTTCATTAGACTGACCTCTCCATCTCCTCTCGCTCTTTATTATCCTGCTCCATATATGTACAGATTAAATGTTTGAAAGACGCATACTTGTGTGTTACCCATATGATGTATATCATATCTGTGGACTTTTTAATTAAGATTTTAGGTTATATCAATATTTATATGAATGCATACCCACTAGGGATGTAACGATTCGATTCGATTCACGATTTTGATTTCACGATTCGATTCACAATTTATTTTAACAAATTGAGATTTAAGACAAATTATAAATGAAATGTGTCCTTTTATTATTGCTTGGACAAATGCTGCACGTTTCTTTGTGAAATTGAAATATAACACTATAATAATACACTAATATAGCACTTCCATATTATTGCTCTTTTGTTGGTTTTGATTGCTTCTATTGTCGTCTGCTAAATGACAACATTTAAATAGAATGTAAATGTAAATAACAAAACTAAATAGAAATTTTAAAACAAGCCCCAAATCAAATAAATAAGTAACACAAATAAAAGAAATCTCTTCATATAAACAAAATAAGGCTTTGTCTGTGTTCTTTCCATTTAAAATTAGCGGCAACCACTGCACTTTAATCATGATCCAAACAAAGATGCTGCATAATGCAACCCGAGCCGTTTTTAATCTAAATTAGATTGTATAATTTCGAAATTTGAAGCAAAAACAGAATGGTTTGACTTCAGTTTTGTGAAACTATACATAAAAAATATCTGCATGAAACAGAAACAGCAGACGAGCTGAACGAGACGCAGATTCACTCTCTGCCAGCAGGTGGTGCTTAAAGCGTTTCCTTGGTTTCCGCTGTAAACAAAGCAGCGCTGCACTTATGAACTTTAATATGCAAGATGAAAAGAAAAAATGCCATCTAAACTTTTCTAAAGACGGTAAGTTCCCCTCAGACATACATCTCATATAACCCTAATTGAATCGCGGTTTGTTTAGCATCTCAACCGATTTGAATCGTCACATATTTGAATCGATTTTCACCCGGCTCGC